ACAGCCCACACGCAGTTTATCTGGCAGCGGCAACCATTGGTCATACCAGCCGAGTGCCAGCCGGTTAGGCTGTTAGCTCCGGCGCGAAATGTGAGCGAGCGCCTGAGATTTGCCATTCGGTCTCGGTGACCCGAAGGTTGAGTCACAAGCTCGTACTTTTTAATAACATTGAGAGAGAAAATTTCCTACCGGCAACGTGCATTAATACGCAAGCTAATAATAATAATTAATATTGACCCAACGGTCGACGCGAATTTAATCACATTTGGGTCAAGTATCCGATTTGGTGGATTCCAGACGTTGCAGTTGGTTGGGCAGGTAACTTGACCCAAGTGTGATTAAACTCGCGTCGTCCGGCGGGGCCTCGTGGCTCAAGTGGTTAGAGCGTTGGCTGTACTAAAGCCTTCCCCTTGCTGCGTGGGTTCGAATCCTACCGAGGCGCCGAGTTTTACACAGTTGAGTCAATGTGAATTATTCAAAATCTGTCAGAATAGCAATGGGCTAATAATAATTGTTGTTTTTTTAAATAACCTTGAGAGAGAAAATGTCCTGCCGACAACGTGCATTAATACGCAAGTTAATAATACCTGTCGTCATTTTGGGGTAAGGCGATACCATACTCACAGCACAGGTACTAACCAAAAGCCCATACACGCGTGTTTCGTCGATATTCTGCCGCTGCATGGCACAGCTGCGGGGGTTTCGGCTTGTCATTGGGTCCCCCAGCGATCCCCGTCTGTTTTCTGGTAGATAGTCTTATTTAGAAATTGTCGCTTTTTTTTCAGAAGTTAACCGCGAAAATGGAGTAGATCAGTTTTTTCAAGGTTTACAGGCTCAGACCGAGAATTTTATGCATGAATATTAAAAAAGCGGCAATTTCTAAATTGGAGTATCTACCAGAAAACAGACGGGGAATGCCGAGGGACCCACTGACAAGCCGAGCCCCTCGCAGCTGCGCCATGCAACGGCAGAATATCGGCGAAACACGCGGGTATGGACTTTTGACTAGCACCTGTGCTGCTGGTATGGTAGCACCTTACCCTGGAGTATGCTACTAACTGCATGTCATCTTCTTGATGCAATGAAAGGTTTGCCAGTTATTTGGCTTGGACGCCTGATTGGAACTGTCTAGTTTCTTTTCATTTGATTCTCCTTTTCACACACATCGGTGGCAGAATCTCTAGGGTACCCAGTTTGGGAAAACAATCTAAGAAGTAATCTACGTAGACTCTGCAACAGATGCATTAGTATTTAATTGGGCGACGGGACATATTCTCTGAGAAATCGGCGTGGAGAAATAACCGATCTCCCTGAACTTTGAAGTTGCAGGTGTGGCCATTAGGTTAGACGAGCCGGCTTGGAAAAGACTGCGTAATCACAACATCTCCCTCTAGACCGATGGAGGCGCGAGGTGGTCCGCGAAGAATCAGATAATGTCGAAGGAAAGGGGAGTTACTAAGCAGGCTAGAAAATGAGGATGCTGTGAATGACTGAATGTTTAATTAGAGTGCTGGGAGGGGAGCTGTGATCTACAGAAGGCATGTTATGACATGGGAAAGAGAGAGTCAAGGGGATGGAGGCGAATTATGGGACATGGGAGATGGAGTGTTGGGATGGATGGACGACCTGGAGGAAGGGGCTCACTGGTCGTACTGAGTATCAGCCCATCGGGATGTTCACACAAACGACCCCCTCTGTCTCCGTAATGGGTTTGGAAAGCGTCAGAAAGTCTCGAGAGATTGAAATTAGGGGAGTACTCGGTCGAACCCAGTGAATGCGTCAGCTCAGAACTGCCAAGCCGGTGAGCATAATTCGAACTCTACACTCCCCTGACTAACTTCTGGTTTGACGAAGGAGATGGAGGACACAGAAATGAGGAATTCGCTCTGCACATGGCCGTAGAATGTCTTCACAGAGGGAAAGGAAAACTTGAATGGCTAGATCACGTACTGTTAGCGTTGACTCACTCCTCGGAGAGTGTGTCCGTGACACGAACGGCCCCCATGAGTGGATGGGAACAACATTAGACGTCTTGTGATGTGTTTTATTACATGAGGCAAGGCCTGTTATGGCCGATTGGCCGCGCATACCTGTCGGCGCCCGCAGTTAGCCTGGATAAATTTGACGCAACAGGACTTGGGACAAAGACGGCGGCCCCTTAAAGGAGGACGGTTGGCTTCCAGCCGTCACATCGAGGCCTTTTTGCAAGACAGATTCAGAGACAGACGATAGCGAATGATTGATGCTGCTGCTGCTGCTGCTGCTGCTGCTGCTGCTGCTGCTGCTGATGATGATGATGATGATGATGATGATGATGATGATGATGATGATGATGATGATGATGGCGGCGGCGGCGGCGGCGGGGGCGGGGGCATCAGCGAGACGGTTCCGCAAAAAATGTCGCATGCGGTGTACGAGAATGGTGGGATAATCGTTGGCAGTGCGAGTAATTCGTCTTGGGGACGGACGGTGTGGCCAAAAACAAACTCAGTGAAATGGCAATGAAGGCTTGACCCGAGGACTGAGCATGCAACACGCGGAACCGACTCAGCATGTTCAGGGGAACAGTCCCAAACATCTGCAGATTTTATTGCGGGTGCAGAAGTTTGCGACTCCACAGCAACGACTGGAATTCAGGTATCATCTGTCTGGTTTTAGGGATTCGTCGCGGATTGTAGAGTGGCACAGGACCATGGTTTCACCGCAGGAAATTTGGTTCATGACGGAGAGGTTGTTCCCACGGCCACAGCCCTCCCATTTCTGTGAAGTCGCAACTTCTTTTAACATTATGGACTATTAGAAACACTAAATCTGCACCAACATCAAAATGCCAATTGATCCAAAGACCAGAAAACCGGGTTTAGAATTCCGGGTTGCACAAACGTGGGGTTGGGTGTGGCCGATCCGCGACGACTAATAAGTCCGGAATGGCCACCGTAGTCCCTCTTGTCTTAATTGGTATTGTCCTCCTACCTCATGATTGGTCACTTTGCCATTGCCTACGTTTGAGCCTCAAGGCGCGACGGGGACGATCAGGTCCCCTGACCGGTGGACGCACTTCCCACAATCGAGTTTTATGTCCCCCTATGTTCTCAACACATGTTGACATCCCTACCCAAGGATAGTTGACCAGCGAACGCAACAGCCCGTCGCCCACCATTCAGAGTACCTCAGATAGCATTAGTAAGGCGTAGTTTGGTAGCCCCACCTGATGGACACAATACCGTTGGGGTTGTGATTAGGGGTTAGGATTAAAGGTCAGGGTTAGCGGTTGGGGTTTAGGATAAGGGGTTATAGTTAGGGGTTAGCGCAACTATTTCTCGATCATTGAAATTACGGCCACACACTCCCAATAGCTTTTCTTTTGCATAAAATTACTTGGCCTCGTCGCCTGTGCATTCCCCGGCTGCACCTGTAAAAACCCCTATTACCACGGTTTGTTTACTTCAGGTGGGACTACGAAATCATATCCGACCATTGCATTTACAGCCTCTAGGATGGCAGCACTTTTAGAGATAGAATCTGCCAGTGTTTCGTCTGTCCTTTGCAGCTGAATAACACAGCTGCGCAGGGCCTGGCTCATCAGTTAGTCCCCAGCAGGTCCCACATGCATTCTAATATACGCTGCAGTTTTCAATGTCATTAAACTATCTCTCTAGCAGCAAACACCAGCAGTGGCGCAAAGGCAGCGCTCTGTTCTACTGTCCAAAAACTGAAAAAAAGAATGCGCGATAGTGTGGATAGGGCTGAGAATGTTTGCAGGGCTTGTTTGTGTGATGGGGGAGTGGGCGGGCACGACGGCCCAACTATCGCGTACCCCGGGGAGAGGTCAGGTCGGCAGCTTCGCTGTGGGGGAGGGGAGGAGGGAGTGGGGAGCGAGCAAGTGAGGATCACTAGTGGCCTGTCGTCACGGCTGGAGGATAATTTTGCCCGCAACAGATGCACGACTCGGCAGTTTGTACCTACGGGGCAGGATGCTCCGGCCCGACCAACCAGTCGACATACAGCCCGATTACAGGGCGAAATGTGGGACATCCAACTCTGTTGCGGATTTTTTAGCAATTAGAGGAGTCCAATAGACACCGCCCAGCATTAGACACCTGACACAGCGGTGAGGCACTGGGAAACAAGCCTACGCGTCCCAGGGCTCAAGCCATCGCGGTCTGGTGTCAATAACATTCTGCGGTTGCCATTGTCCGCACCAGTGTATGAGTAAAAAGAGTGGGCTGCACCAAACAAGCGACCCCATTTTCATGCATCTTTACTGCAGACTACAGCTATATTTACACAGGCGGCATGCGCATGAATAGATAGGGTTACATGGAATGCCAGAGGATTGTCAAAATACTATAGGCTCAAAAGGCCACCCCTGACCTAAAAGCATTGAGACTACGTTCACCGGCAGACACAGTCCCCTCAGAGGAGTTGACGAGGCCCTCCTCATCCTCATCATCGTCGTCATCCTCCTCGTCACTGTCAACTGCAAAACCATAATTGACTAGGGCTTCTTCCTCTTCCTCTTCCTCCTCCTCAACCTCCTCTTCGTCCTCCTCATCATCACTGCTTAGCAGGCCCGGCTCGGCGGGTCTTGCGGTCACGGAGGGCTTTCTGCTCCTTCCTGTTGCCAATGCTGGCGCCTGTGACTCCGCCCTGGGTGTTCTTGGCTCGAGAGTCTGCAGCATCACAAAGGCCCTGCAAAGGTGGGCACCCATGCTCTCCAGGTGGATGGGTGCGATCTGGTGACCGGTCTCCGTTGAGGCAGCAGCGCAGGCAGTTTCGTCCCGGCTGAGGCTCATCAGCGATGATGAGATCGCGGAAGGTGCGGTGGCAGTCTGCGCCGCATCAGCAAAGCCAGTATCACCCACGCCACCGAGCTCCTCAGCATGATCGAGCCAACAGTCTCTGGTTACGCCACAGTAGGAGGCCTCCAGGGTGTAACTGCGTGCTACCTTGAATTGGCGCCACAGCACGACGCGTCCGGTGGACTCCTTGATGCGGCTGATGGAGTACCTGAATGAAAGTATACTCTGGCTAAAGAGTTGGCAAACAGTGGAGCGGTAAGGATCAAATATATGCGCAGGGGAAAGTGCTAGCTGTTGTTCGACAAATTCACCGGCGTTTTAACACTCCTGCTTTACTGGCGGACGTATGCGGTGCATCTAACAATATTTTGAGTATTTTTTTACTACCTGACTGCTCTCTGTGCCGAGCTTTTTTGAAAAAATGAACTTTCCTCCTACTAAGGAATTACGTGTGAGTGGGGCAGAACAATTAACTAGTATAAACATTTCAAAAGCACCGAATCCTCGGGACGGTAAAGGTCAGCGAATGTCATCCTGCCGACGAAGAAAAAGCGTTATCGAACAAACATACTTTTGAAAATATTCTAGGCCGTTCTACATATTTTACTCCTTACCCCGCGCATATAATTAACCCTTACCAGTGAGGCAACCTGACTATGTTTCGTTAAAAAAATCCGAAATGTTAGGGTAGGCGGCAAACCAACCTACAGCGACCGGCCGGGCAGCATGTGACCTTATGAAAACTTTGGTTCCTACGACGTCCCCATCGGTGAAATGAAGCGAAATCCTGTTTCTCTTATTGAGGCGCACCTCAATCAACTCGAACGTGTAAAAAAATACCACGAATCCCCGGAAAACTGCTTTGGAGTCGTACTCAGACTGGAGGCTGCCGGAATAGTGGCCATACCTGAAATTACACTAATTATTGAAGGATATTTAGATGTTTACTTCGTTAAAACATCATTTTTAAACGTTATTTTATTTTTGCTTTTATATTTACCCAGTTTTTTGCATGAGAAGATATTCTGCACATCTAAAAACGAAGTTTACTGAATTGCAGCCCTCTTTGACGTTTTGGAGATTTTACGCTTTCCTAGTAAATAAAATCAGCATTTCGAAGCAACGCAACACTGCCTTTAATGTTTCTTTCGTTTTTAGTCCTTTTAAAGTTGTACTAAATTAACACATGCAGTGGTGTCTGTTTGCGAGTGACTGCCAATCATTCGTAAATCTCACCACCTTTTATGAGTAAGGGGCATTGTCTCCTGAGTGAAGAAAGACCAAGAACTCTGCACGGGCAACGGTTCCAAAATGATAATTTGAGAAAAGGGAGCAGAGAAACTTGGAAACAGTACGTCATCAGCTGACAGTGACGGCGAGGCCAACCTTACGGCCAATTTGCCCGGCGAGCCCAACAGTCGCCACAGGGGCTCAAACACCTTTCTCCACGTAATCACAGACAGCACGCAAGTCAGCCATCATTAGCGTTAATCTAGTGGCCGAAAACATCCGACGTTTTTTTCCTGCAGACGCTTGAAAAATCAGCACAACTTACAGGCTGGTCTTGCAACACACATAAAAGGGTGAGTTCTAAGAGGTAACTGGGAAGTTCATTCCGCAGCCGATGGAATACAGAATTTATTGGCCTGAATTTTTATCAGAAGCAAAGAAAACAACATAATGCATGGAACTGTGGTGCTACGCGGTAGCAACAACTAGCGAGGACTCTAACTCTCCATTTTTGGCAAAGTAGACACGAGCTGACCAGAAGTTTCAGTGCGAGGGAGCCGAAAAGAGGCCCGGACCACGTGACCCTTCCCATCGATGACGCAAAGACTTCCCCCAGGTTATGTAGCGTCAAGCCTATGACTAAACACGGGAAATACGCAGAGGGCGGGGTGGCGCGGAGGACGGCACTGAATAGTCAAACCAGCAAGTATCGGCCAGGGTATGGTATGTAACCCCCTTGGGAAGACCGCAGTTAGCTGCAAACTTGAGCCCGGAAACCCATTCCCAAGAATAACCCAACTAATAGCAACTTTAACCGTTGTCAAAACCCTAACTGTAGGCCAAAACAGACAACTTTAACGTCGAAAGCGCTATTGGAGGTCAAAATCTGCTTCCTTCAGAGCCCCTTTCGCAACCTACCACCAGGCAAACCCTCATGAGACACACCAACCACCCACGGGGGGTTACATACCCTACCCTTACCCAAGTGGCTACCACGCAAATGACCAGCATCGCCAGCGAGGACGTCCACAGCCTGCCCCAGAACGTGGACGCAGCGCCAGTGACTTGCACGTGAATTGGTGAGACGGACTTTTGCCGCATCTACCACACCCTTTTCACCCTCCCCCACTAGTCTTCGATGGCAAGACGGTGTCTTGGTGCATGGAGGTGCAGCGGATTATGCCTCGCGCTTGGCTGGTCAAACAGTTGTCGCGAGACTCGCGACTGTTCCGGTCGGGTGGTGGCTCGAAGGCGGCCTGTTAAGTCATGGTCTGGCAGCAGCCGCCCCCTTGCATTTGCGCCTTTTTTTACTTCCAACTGTGGATTCGACACTCCGACTCCCAGTCTTGGATAGAAGCGGAGTCAAGATGAAAGCTTGCCGAAGCCAGTTGTCGCCAAAGACAACATTCATGACAAAGAAATGCAGACCTAAATCCTTCAATGCCAGTCCACATAAAAAACGCACTTACGAGA